GCTGAAGTTTGAAGTTTCTCTGTGCTCACCTTAAATTGGATTTTAATTTGGGAGATTTTTTTCATTTGCGAAATAATTTTCTTGCTGTAGTCCCAAATCAATACAGAGGAAATAAGCCTGCAATAAGCAACAGACCTGTTGCTTTGCTGTACAACAAATGTTTTGTGTGAGTTGAACATCATATAATCATATGGGTCATTTACAAGATTAAAGATTAAAGAGGTGCTGTCTGTTTTCATACAGTACAGCCATTCAGACTCTCTGCTGCTCTGTAGCTGAAGTAATTATCCTGACCTTAACCCCATCCTGCTCAACCACAACCCTAAGTATAGTGTAAGTGTGGTTCTAAGAAGGATAATTACAATACTTGTTCCTTTGTAATTATACACAGTATGACAAACATTGTGATACCAAGAACACCTTTTTATGGACTTGAACCCAGCACCCTTCCTCCTGTGCCGCAAGGAGCAGAATTTCATCTGAAAATGCTTTTGTCAAGAAAGAATATCTCCTCTAATGCGTAACCGCAACTGTTCAAATGTTACACCAAATCATTCCGCTCACAGTTGAATACTTTACCGCTCTCGCTGACTGAATCCATCACTTGGTCCATATTTTTTACTATTATTTTGAGTTGGCTGCAGGCACCGCGCGAGTAACGCTACACCTATGGGTGTCCCAGCTCCACTCAGGCTATTTCTGTATCTGAAGGAAAGGTGATGTGTTGGAGGGGGGCAGGTTTGGGGCAAAGCAAACAGCAAGGGTCTCAACACTCAAAGTAAACATTACCCTATGTTTGAACTACACACCTTCGGCCCTACAGTTCTCACACACACTCACGCTCTCCCCTCTGAGTCTTATTCCTGCTAACACCCCCTCGAGCCTGCCCAGCTAAATACACTGCTTATCCCTGGACCTTCCCATAAATCAGGGAGGAAAAGCACCTCTGACAAGGTCTCACCTCTACGGCCAGCAGCCCTTAGCCGGCAGCACTGACATGCATGTGGGGACTACTTTGGAATAAATCGACTAATGGCTTTTCAGAATAACTTTCCTAATAACCACCTCTGAGAACATAAGGATATTGTGTCCAGCAAATGTAATGCAATTATAATAAATCACATTTATCTGCTCACCTAGCCCTGCCTCCCCTCTGCCTCTACCCTTCAAAAACGAAAAGCCTGCTTTGCTGAGTCAGGAGCATGTGATGATGCATTTAGGGATTTAGAAGTTTGACACACTGCAAAGTTTTATTGAGCATACAATAGATCATGAAGTGAACTGGTTTAGGGGGAGAAAAAGTGCTTCATTATTGTACCACTTTGTTTCATCCAACAAAATCATAGAATTCAATATTCTGAGAATGTCAATGGGTTTAAACACAGAGTCAAGCTATTTGTGACTTTAGCATGCTCAATTGCATTAACCAGAGGAGAGCTGCAACAGCAATATTCAAAATGATACATTCCCCGGAGGAAACTGTTTAAACATCTGAGCATTGCCCAACATCTCTTTCTTCTTTGGTTTTGTTGTTTTGACTTTGTTTATTCATCCTTGTCTCGGAGCGCTGGCTTCATCCTCCACTGCCTTAACTTGTTCCCAACAACTGTGATTCCTTAAAACAAAAGAATGAAAGAAACTCAGTGAAAAACACAGTCTTTTTATCTTTGGCATGAGTCAATAACCAGGGCAGCATTACTTAACACACTGTTGTTGTTTTTTTCAAACGTTCGGTGGATTGTTTTTGACATGTTTATTTCCATGGCAAAGAAATGTTGGGTTTCCAACAAGACCAGCACATATAGCTTTGTTCGTCCATGTGTCTGTTGGAACGCTCCCAGTAGTTTTTATGGCTAGACTTTTCAAACAATGCTCTGATGGACGTGGACTATTGTAGTTTGTGGCCCAGGATTTCTTTATTTGTATTTATTTCATTGTGTGCAGCACAGCAAAGGCAATGGGAATGTGTTAAGTGTTCATTTGACAATAGTGTTTGATTATCACAAATTACTTGTCTCATTGTGTCCCAGTTGATTTCCAGATGTTGGTAATTTTTCAAGTGTTCATATTCATTGTTTATGAATGGTTAGCTGGTGCTATAACAGTACCATGCTACAGGTAATATATGCACAAGGATATAGTTGTAGTGCAGATTTGCACTACTAACCATTATTGATTAGAAGGAGATTTTTGAGGAGGGAGCAGCTTTTGCACAGTTGGTTACATAATTTCACCGGTTATGTGTTTTTAACCAAACATAGAGGCTTGTTAAACCCTACATGCTGAGCTAGCTGGCTCTCCGTCATCTTTTCAGATTCCACTGAAGTTATTATGTATCATAACATGGCAGTTACATCATCTTAAAGATGCCAAATATCTTGTGCGACACGTTTGTAATAAACAATAGCCTGTAGCAGTAACGGCATCAAAGTGTTCCAGATACAAATTTGACATAGACCACCACAACTCTGACAGTTTATGCACTGTATGTATGTATGTATGTATGTATGTATGTATGTATGTGTGTATATATATAATTTCTTCATTCTTAAAAAAACATCACCGCTATACAAGTTAACCCTAACTCATGTGTTAAGCTTTCACTCATTGTAATTGTAAGTTTCCAACTTAAGGTGTGTTTGAAAAGTGTGTGTGTGTGTGAGCCTGGGAATGTGTTCTTCAAAGTAAAAGAATGAGAGTAGGCAACCTTGCAGACTGGAAAGATAAAGTGAACTGATACTCCTGATGGGAACATTTATAACAAGATGAAAAGAGGGATTCTTTGAATTTCTGTCATATGAATATTAATTACTACATAAAGTTGGCACCAAGAAACCTGACAATAAGACAGATATTTTGCTGTAATTAATGCCTGCTCTGTTGAAAAAAACATCCTCACACGGCCTCTGCTGCTCTTATCCTGGAAGTCTGTAAGGACAAAGGACCCAGGCTGCTCCTCAGGAGAATTCATATTGTTCTCATATAATATAAATCAATACAAAGGCTTGGGAAGCTCCTGCATCACTAAATGGCTTTGTGAAACTTAGCAAGAGGAGCCTCAACTGTCCCCGGTGGTATGCTTCTTACTGAATGTTGCACAGACACTTAATTACTATACAAACACTATTTATCTGTAATCTCTGCTGTCTAAAAACATTTACACCATATGGTGTCTCTGTCCTGCAGTACAGACCTTTGTCTTGCCCATGGACACACCTCTTTTGTCGAGCTGTGAGGTTTAACCTCCCACTTATGGGAAATGATATTCAGCAAATGCCACTAAAAACAGAAATATTGAATGAACAATTTTAGATGTCTCTTTATCTAGACATATGGAGTGAACCACACAACATACTATAGAGTAAGGCTATGTGCCAGCGCTGAATATTTTTTTTGCCTCATTACAAAATTCAGTGATTTTTGAATGAGGTTTCCTTACTTTGTTTTGGTTGAATACTGAACTCTCCAACTAAAGTCTGACCTTGTAGCTTTGTATTCTTCCTGGAGTAATACCAGCATTAATAAACTGCTATTGTGATGTTTCCATTGTGTTTGCCTAAATGTGTTTAAAACCCTTGTAATGGGTATATTAGGTTAAATTTTACAATACAGATTTTCCACAGAGTTTTGTGCATTGTGTGCTGTCCCCATCCTCCTCTCCACAGCAGACTTGTTGTCCTGGAATAGGCAGATATAGCCAATATGCTAAGCTCAGGGGTTTAGGTTGCAGGTCATTTCCCAGTGGGATCAGCCAGCTCCTGCAGAGGGCTTTTGATAAGAGTGGATATTGGAAGCTATGTAAACCTTGTTAAGCTGCCCTTCCCCTGTGTGCAGTGGGGTAATCCTAAACACCTGGGCTAGTTAACTGGGATTCGAGGGATTAGAGGCTCCATGAGGCAAACCTGATCATGCTTCTGGTTAAAGCCATTTCCATTCTTATCTTTTCACATTCTCTCTTTTATAATTCAAACTCAATCCAGCAGTTAAACAATAGTTACCTTTATACTGAACTATTTATCTCTCGCTATATCTGTCCTTCAAGGCTGTGATAGCTTGTCAAGCATAACTGTGATTCGCTTGAACATCCCACTTTGAAGTTCATGCTGTACCTTACATTTTAAGAGCTCAAATGTGTGTGTTAATTTGGCTGCTTGATTTGTTAATAATTATTTCAAGTTTTTTGTTTTGGTGTTTAGCCATGCTAGCAGCAGAAATATTTCGACAACTATTGGAAGGATTACCATAAAATTTTGTACAGATGTTCATGGTCCACAGAGGATGGATTCTACTGACTTTGGTGATTCCCTTACTTTTCCTCTGCCGTTACAATTAGGTCTACATTTTTGTTTTTATTAAAATATCTCAACTCTTGGATGGATGACCATAGAATTTGGTACAGATAAGATCTCCTGATATATCCTCTAGTGTCCAAAATGTTTTGACCCCAACATCTGCAAAATTAATGATGTTCCCATCAGCCTCATCTGTAGTGCTAATAAGCAAAGCTAACACACTACAATACGATTGTGAACTTCTTGAACATTAGGCTAAACCATCTAAACATCTTCATGTTAGCATTGTCTTAGCATGCTGATGTTAGCATTTAGCTCAAAGCACTGCTTTGCCTCACAGAGCCACATGGCTGTAGACTCCTTGTTTTATTTTTAGCCCAATGAAAGCTGTTAGCCAAAAACCACTGATAGCATTGAGCGACATGCAACAATAAGTGCTTGTTTACATAATTTTGAAAAAAATATTCTTGATAATGGCACACATTTAACCAAATTTAATCTCATAATTACACCAATATGATGTATATACATTTTCACAGTACTTTGTGTCTTCATAGACGGTCTTTTGCTCTGAGTGGTCAAATGTTGCAAAAAAAAATCACATGGAGTTTGTCAAAACCTGTATTTTATGGTGTAACTATGACTCTATCATCAGGAAAGGTTCAGCTTCATCAACTAACCGCACGCTCCTTCTTTCCATGTTTCTAGATGTGGACGAGTGTGCAGAGGCGCTTGACAACTGCAGCATCGATGCCATCTGCCAAAACACCCTGAAGTCATACAAATGTCTCTGCAAGTCAGGCTATAAAGGGGATGGCAAACATTGTGAAGGTAAAAGTCTTACTGGAATAATGCGCTCATTTTCACTTGTGGTTGGAGGCACAAACGTCTCTTCGCCTCTGTAGGAGCACAGGGAGGATTTTTACAGTACACTGAAGTGAAAGCCACATTTCTCATGTTGATTTGCCTTACCTTTCTGAACGTAAGCCCTTGGGCCAGTGACAGGGCTTGATAAGGGCTTCTGTCTCACTCAACATAACTCATTAGTTTCAAGACTCTCCTGAAGAGGGAGGGAGACAAGTGAGAAAGAGCAGCGGATGGAGGAAGGGGAAAGCCAGGTGCAGAGTGCTCCTTTGTGACAAGATGAAATGAAGCAGTAAATTTCCTACACATGTTAGAGGAGAGAATTAAGATAGCGGCTGAAATGGCAGAGGACCTGCCAAGCAGTCAGGGATATTTCCACAGCCAGAGGCAGGCCTTGTAGACTGTCAGACACAAGTCTGTTTTTCTAGCCTTTTTCAATGTGCCCAAAGTCTCTGGATCATTATTTCCCACAATTTTTATTAGTATTATTACAGAACCATATTTCACAATGTCATTTTTTTCCCTTACTATTATTATTCTTTCATTTACTTGACCGAGTGTTTTTCATGGCCTTCTGCCTGTAGGTTATAAAAGTTTTTGTGCTTTTTTGAATCTATTGTTATTATATGTGCAAGGTTGGAATCCCGTTGAACTGAAAGTTTGCTGATGGCTTCTCAAGGCTGATATACTGGTAAAAATCAAAATTCCAAACAATATTCTTATAAAATAACCAAATACAAAGTGTTTTAGTAACTAGTGGTAGCTTAGGAGCATGCTGTCTGTTAAATGTAGCCTTGCACAAAGGGTTCTAAGTAAAGTGCTGCACCAGGCTTGCACCTATTTGTGTTAAAAGCATTCTCATGTTTCCATGCTGGTTCCCCATTACCCCTTAAACAGCTCCTCCACACTGCTTGTATTTAATGTCTGTGGATCTGATTTGATTTCTATTGATCTAAAAGCTTGGTTCAATGTGACCAGTAGCAATTACTGAGATTTTCTAAATGTGTTGACACTGTTATACAGTCTATGGTTGAAACACCCATTTTTATCTTCAGGGGACTGTTCGGATTTGTCCTCTTGCTGTTAAAGGATCGGTTCACAATTTTTCAGGTTGGCCTTGTAATAGTCAGTTGCCCACATCAACATTGAAACTACGCTGATGAAATTGGACACTAATTTGTTACAACCTGCCCAGGGAAAACAGATAAAATGAGCTTATTAGCTAACACTGGTACATTTACATTGAAGTGTAAACCACAATTTAAATTCATCTGCATTGTGCCTGGTAGGTTGGTATAGGTAAGTGAGTGAGTGAGTAAATAAGATTTTCCTTACTCCTGTTCATAATGAGCAGTGAAAGATCCCTTCATAATGTGCTTTCAATGTAAGTGATGGGCCTCGTTTTAAATTTATCTGAAGCTAATATGAGGCTTCAGCAGTCTGATGTAGTCAGATCTTGTGGGTATCTTCCAAAGTTACTGACCTCTTTGTGTTTCTCTGAACAGTGTTTTGCTGTTGAGGGATAGTAACAAAAAAAAGGAATTTTGTTTAAGGTATCTTAGTCTGTGAAACCTTTCTGAGGCCAGTTTAAATTGCAAAAAATATGACAATGAAGGTCATTTGATTTTTTTATTTTTAAATCTGTTTCACTCTCATTTAATTTTAAAAATTACAAATTAGATATCCATTTTTTTTTAATGCTGGCTTTTGCTATTATTGTTTTATTGCCTTTAAAATATTTGCTTTAGAAAGAAATGATAATAAGTATAGTTTTTTCACTTTCTACTTTGTCTTCTTAACAAAAAATACTGATAGTTAGCTTTTTTGATTTAGGTTATTGGACGGTGAAAACGGCAGGGACAAAAGTCCAGGATCTCTTTGAAAAAGTCTCATTATATTATTTTTTATTATTGATTAGAAACTTGTCAGTAAACCAAACTAAAAACTGCTGTTGTTATTATTGCATTTATTACATCTCTCTATCTATCTCAAATCCACATCTTGTAGACAAAACTTTGGAGTTGACTTAGGAGAAAGTGACAGGCATAGAATAAAACGAAAAGTCAAAGCTAAGGAAAATCACTTGCGCGTTATCATGTGGTGGGTGTTTCAGGTTTAGAGAGAAGTAGACAAGTGATTGTGTGCTGTGATTGGGGAATGACAGAGATGTGTGGGAAGTGGAGATGCAGCGAGCAGGAGAGTGTTTCTTTGTTTCAGTCCCATCCCTTTGCTGTCAAGTCCAATTAAGCCCTGAGTGAGACAGCCTCAAAGAGGAGCTGAACGACCGGGATCATCGGCCCTAAATGGGCCAGTAAGTGCTGAGTGGAAGTGCACGATGTTCTCAATCCACCATGTCTGGGTCTTCTGAATGCGGGGCCTCCACCATCATCATAACCAAAACAGACTTCACTCAGGCTGTCATACCAAGCCGCAGTCTCTCTTCATCTTTGTGCCTCTGCTCTCTCATTTATGTGTCACATTTCTTCAGTTTTAGCTACTAGGTCTGATAAACTTTAGGTTTAGATTAATTTATTGGTCTGACGGTCAGTATTTCGCTAACTACAAGTCAGCCTATGACGTCAATAATGCCAGAACTGATTTCATGGAGATTCCTTTCCGACAACGTACATACGCATGATAGAGTAAAATTTTCCATAACAACTTTTTGTTGTTTGTACTTGTACTGTGAATGAAGTCCTCATATCTTTATTTAAGTAAAGTACCTATACAACAGTGCAGAAATACTCTGTTAGCATATATATATATATAACTGTACTGTGTTTACCCCCAGTACCACTATGTTCACTGGGAGGCTGCTTAACAGTTGCCCGCTTGCCTGGTGCCCATTCTGGACTCAGTCAGCTAATAAGACCGCTAAGTTAGCTGAACGGCTAACTAAGCTAACTAGCAAATGGCAATTAGCAGCAGTTATGGCCTTATGTGATATCCTAACCACTTTTTGGAATATGAATTTGACATGTGGAGAGTAATCTCAGTCCTTACATATTGTACCTTAAGTACAATAAGTAAATGTACTCATAATGCAGGCCCATTTTAGAATCATATATTTTATTATTGAATATATTTATATATAATTATTGATGCATGAATATGTGGAGATCATTTTAACAATACTGTATAGCGCTGGGTAGCTTGGGAATTTTCTTCCAGGACCAATGAAGTCTCATCTTTATCCATAATAAGAAAGTAGCAGAGGAAAAAATTATTTGTCTCTGAATTGTAATTATAAAGTAGTAGAAAATGGAAATACTCAAAGTTCAAGTACCTCAAACTTGAAGTTAAGTACTGTAGACACCTTGAGTAAATGTACTAAATTACTTTGCACCACTGCGTGAATAGCTGCAAAAGTCACAACTGACTTCATTCTCTGGGTCTCAGTAGAAAGCTTTTAGTACCCCACATTGGACAGAATGCTGTTTCAGAGGCTTTTATATCCCTCCAACAATAAAATTCCAAAAGGGAAAAAGCGATGTCTTGGCATGGAACTTGTCAAATTTTAGGATATTAAATATAACCTAAAATCTTGGTTATCCATAATAGACAAAACAAAGTTCTGGGATATACCCAAGTTACATCAGTAACAGGTGAACCCACTAATTACTGCAGCTGTTGTCTGGTCCCTGTTTCCCTCAGAAGCACTCTTCTGAAAGTAGAGACAGAACATAACAGATCATTTTAATTTCTCTATATTGCACCAAATGGCTTAATTGCAATAGATTTTATAGGAATATCTTGACATTTTAGGAAATGTGCTTATTTACTTTTTTGCCAAAAGTGAGATGAGAAGATTGATACCTCCCTCATATCCGTACAGTAAATATGCATCAACAGCCACCTGCTGGTCAGCTTAGCTTAGCACAAAGACTGGAACCAACTTGCCTGGCTCTGTAGGAAATTAACAAAGTTCATCTACCAGCAACCGTAAACATTTTGATAATTAACACATTATATCTCGTCTGTTGAATCTATAAAAACCTTTGGCCAGGGGTGTAGTGAGTCTTCTCATCACAGTGAGATTGGCTGTACGTGACCAGGAAGTCACTATTCCGCACATGAAAGGAAATTCTTATGCTCTTGCATTATGTAGACAACAAGGCTCAAGTTAGTCATAGTAAGCACATTGAGATGATGATAAGAGGTTTAATAATCAAACCGTAAGAGAACTACTGAACAGGAAGTCTACCCCAGCAGGTGTTTTCAAATGAGTCACACTCACCATGAGGTTAATTGGGACACATCATGGCCAACACCACACCAGTTTTTTTTGTTAAAGTGAAAGAGATCCTCTTCACTATTAAACATAGATGCTACCCCTGTAACAAAGAAGTCTCTGTAGTACTGCCCTGATGCCAGACAGGAATGTAGCTTTTGTAATATAGAAACAGAGTCCATAGAACACCTGTTTGTTAACGGTCCACATACTGAGAAACTCTGGAAAGATTTGGAAAACTACTTGACAGAGAAACTAATTTCATTGTAAATATTTAGATCACTCCTGGCAAATTCTTTATTCATAAGATGAGATGGCTCAAGAAAAAGTCTACTTTGTCAATAGATATTGACATGTACTTCACCTCTGTCAAAAACACATTGTAGTTTTTGTAATTTAATTACATTTCAATGTAGACTAAATTCATTCTTTTTCATCCCTAATATTAATCTCTTTACTTACAGGATATAAGAAATAACTGTCAGGATTTCTGATTATTGTCATGATACCATTATGACTGTCTATTCTGCATGTCTTTCTATAATAAAACACAGTGTCTTATTTTCACACTTAAATTTTTGTTTGGATTAAACAAATTAGATATAACATGTTTATTAGTGACCTTTAGAGGTGCTGGAAGACAAATCTTGTTAACTTTTGACAGGTTAGCTATTGGCTAGCTGTAGCTACATATGCAATAAATAATAAGCATATTTCCCAAAATGTCAAACCACTTCTTTCCAGCTGCTCCTACATCCTAACTGGATCTTGATTGCTTCAGGTTTTGAAGTACCTGCTCTCACATCCTTGTGTATCTTCTCTCTGCAGATGTCGACGAGTGTGCGACTGAATACAACGGTGGCTGTGTCCATGAGTGCATCAACATCCCAGGAAATTACAGGTGCACATGCTATGATGGCTTCCGCTTGGCACATGATGGGCACAATTGTCTAGGTGAGTGTGGGCTGCTTGTTGTGGGTGAGTGTGTGTGTGTGTGTGGTCCAGACTGTTTTTTTTTTTATCATTTTCTGCAGCTGACTTAATTATGCAGGAAAACGTTGTTGTATAAGGGGCTTTTGTCAGGAGAACATGTACTTTAAACTGCATGTGTCAAATTTCAAACTCAGCCTGACATAACCCATGTGGCTGCATAAATTCTTCTCTCTGCATTTATAATGTCACATCATGGATGGTAATATATGTTTCACAGCTGAATTGAGCTGTTATTAGACTGCTGCATTAGATATTAGCTATTTCCTCATTTCGCATAGCAGGTAGTCTACCAATGTGTTTTTACAAAAGAAAATTGCTTAAATAAGTCTGACGAAAAGGTCTGAATTTATGAAGAGCTTGACCCTGAGCTGGGAGCTCTGAGTGAGCCGTCAGCCGACGGTACTTTCCCATGGTTTAATATTTCACCAGTGTGCCATTCTTATTAACCTCACAGAGAATGTATTGCGCTTAAAAGGTTATGGAAATGAAGGAAGAAAACACTGCTCTTCCTGCTGCTTGGAGCTGCTAAACATAGACACCCCCGCACCCACCCCAATTCTGTCTTTCTGTCGTGGTCCTTCTCCTCTATTCACCCATTCTACATTCCTTTGTTTTGTTTTGAAACCCCAAAGTCAGACCATGCTGCTCATCAGAAAGCATCTCTCTCTCTTGTTACAACCTTAGCAATGATGCATTTCGCTTGATATTGAAAGCTGGCTAACCTTCGTAGCTGCTGTGAGTTTGTTGCAGAGGAAAGTAACCGATGACTTGATACAGCGTATTTCACAGTAAGATGAAGCAATGACAGAAAAAGTTATCAGCACTTAACAAAGATTCACAGTGAAAGGGCTTTTACATGCTGGCACACAAGGCGACACACTCATGTCAATCCCACATTTACTTGATGAACTGCATGTAATGCTGGGATTAAGGTAAACTGGAATGGAAAACACACATCTTTAGATCAATTATAAACCTGTTGTGACTTGACGACGCCATCATGTCTCAGATTCTCTCTTTCTCTCACTCGTACTATATTTGTCTCTTTCTCTTCTTCACTCACTCTCTGTCTCTTCCTCGCTCATGCACTTGTGTCCAGTGTAAAGCAGGGCCATTTTCCAAGCAATTTAGCAGCAGCGTTTAGATGTGCGTGGATCATTTGCTCTGCCGAGGATCAGCTCCCGCATTGCGTGCAGGTGTGTAATTGCAATACATGGTTGTGTGGCTCCTGCTGTTGCATCAAATAGAGTTGCCTCCATTGATCCGTTTTATATAATTTTTCATTGTGAAACACACACGATGAAACACGGCGTGCTTTCAAGCTTTTTCTTCTTCTGTCATGTCTCAGTTTTTCCCGCAAATGACCTGTATGCAAGAGGGCAGAGATTTCTTTAGAAGGCTTTAGGTCTATCTCAGAAATTCTCGTATGTTCCTGTAAAGACATTGATCGAATTAATTATTAAATGAGTTTTAAATTTCAGCCTAGCAAAGACACACAGTATGGTATTTATGTAGCTGTCAAGTACAAATTCAACCCTGAGACCTGAAAGGACTCTAAAGGTTTCTTTTTCTGGAGAATTAAAGTCATTCTAATGCCTCCGCTCTGCTCTGCTAAGGAAATAATCCTCAGCGCAAACACAAGAGAGGAGAGGAAGAGGTATAGCCAAGGTTTGATGTTAAGGCCCCAGCTTCCTCTTCCAGGTTTAAGCTCCTTTTGGCCCCTGAGAAAAGATTAGTCCCCTTGGCCCCGGAGCGGAGAACCTAAGCAGCTGGTTCCCAGATGAGGTCAGACCCTCAGAGCCCTTATAGACCAGATGTGCCCGAGGCTGCAGAGGAGGAGACATTCACCTGATCCTCAAAAGTTCACACTGAGTTTAGAGTCTGAGATCTTTTAGGTGCTTCTCTTTGGAATTTATGTTGTTTTCCCACATCTTAATTTATTTCCTCTGCTTTTCATGGTTACAGTGCATTATAAACTCCTAGTGTTGTTCTAACTTTGTGCTATCAGTTCTCTAAGGCTATTCTTTAGCTAGTTAGGCACCTGTGTGTGTGTGTGTGTGTGTGTGTGTGTGTGTGTGTGACTGTCAGCTCAGGTACATGAGTTCGGCCAGCGCACACGTATGCCTGTCGATGTCTTCTTTGTTTGCTCGCTGCTGCACGTGCCAATGTGCCACACAGCTCCTTGTAATTGGATGTGTTGGCAGCATAATGACATTGGGCGGTGGCAGAAGGCGGCGGAGCGTGAAGCAGAACGCTGCCTAGTGCGCTTCACCGGGGACGCTCTGGTTTCTGAGGTCTCCCCTGTCTGCCCTACACCCCACAAAGATGTCAGGGAGTCAGCAAGGTGGAAGCAATGCAATAGCACAGCACGCTGCTCCTGTCTGTGCGTGAGTGAAATGCCACTCACTGTATAATTTACCTCACAGGGAGCTATTGTACCCTCTCAATACTCACTGAAGAGAAGAAGTGAAGCATATAAGAACTTGATTACATCTTTTATAACTGTCATGACTATTATCTCGCAGAGGTAAGGGAGGGATGGTATTTAATCACCACACCTCTTTCATGGCGAAGCTGTAAAGGATTTTTAGTCTTAGGAAAAACAGAGGAATCAATGTCAATTTAATCCAAAACACACATCCTCTTTAAAATGAAAACCAGATGCAGGAAGGCTATTAGTTCCCCACTGTAGCACCACCGTCCCCACATTTATGACCTGTGTGTTTTGTTTGAGGTCCTACAGAAACCCAAATACCCTATTATCATTGCTAGTTCATTAAACTCTCTCAAGTAGCTTAATGTCATAAGCATCTGCACAAATATTCCCTTTCTGTCCAACCACATATCACAACATTTTATGTCTATCTGGAATTAAAAGACACAAATAAAGATATTTTTTATGCTCTCATAAAGTGGAAATGCCACACTTGCATGCAGCCTGAGTGTGACTCACTGGGAGAAGCAAAAGCAGGCTTGAAATGGACATTACAGATGTTTGTTGGAGCTCCGACATGCTGTAAAGGATGAGCTTTTGTCATGGCATTGTTTGCTATATATTCACCACGCTATGCTCTGTTTGTCATACATGTTGCTAGTTAACTGATTTCGGGGTCGCACATGCAGAAATAATAGGCCATGTTCCTTTGATTCTATTGACCAACAATGATTTGGTTTGTATTGATTCAGCAGAGCTCAATTCCCTGTGCAATTTATAGGGAAATGAATGCCCTTTTACTTTAACCTTCCCCAAAGACGTAACATGATCTGTAACAAAAAGCAATGTCATTACAGCTTTGAATTGAGCTTCTGAAGGTCAGTTAACACTGTTTCGTGTTTTGCTAATGCCTGTAATTGTATAGTGACATTGTTTTGGGTTTTTTGCCAATAACACTAAGCATGTCCCTCAGAAAAAGCTTCATCTGTCATCTACCACAAAGTCTCTGAGTTGTCGCCTGGCCCGAGTCTGTATCCCTGTTCTTGTAATCCTTTGGGATCATGTTGTAAGGTTGGCTAATCAAACAGGAGGTTTCAGACTGATGTATTATTGACCAGGTCCTGGTGGGGGAAAAAGTAGCCATCTAAAGGCGTCACCCTGATTTGCTCCAGAGCTTTTGCTGCGCATTTAAATGCATTCCTTATGGCATTGGCGACCCTCCTCACTTTCCTGCTACAGATGCAAATACCCTTCTCCCTCTCCAGCTCAAAGTCACTTTGATTTTGTTGTGACATGCATGGATCGGGTTTGGACAGGAGAGTCTCTCCACAGTTCAGAGGAGAGGAGCCGGAGTGATGAGTTAAGGGACGGATTTGAGATTGGTGCATTAGCTGGCTCCTGAAGACTATATCAACACTCTCTCTTTTCTCTCAGGATTGTTCAGTCCCATCCACCATGAAATGAACAATTCCAGCTGAGCCCACTGGCAGGGCTTTGGGGGAAACTCAAGCCTGAGACTGGGTTTAGGGATGTAAGCAAGTAGCAGACTGGGAGCCGTCAGACGTCAGCGCAGCGCCTCTTGTCTCCTTGGCATAACGCTGTCCACCCAAACACTTATCCTGGGGTTTTGTTTTTAAAATACTTCCAGACTTGTTTTGGAGGAACGGAGAAGTACCATTTAGCATGATCCTAGCTCATAGTTTTTCATTTAGGAAAGAACTCGGTGAGAAACTGGACGTGGAATCTAAGCCTGTGCTTATTTACCCAAAATGGTTACCTGGGAGACAGGCCCTAAATTAAAAAAGTCTGAGTTCAATCAAAGCTGTATTAGTTTTGTTTATGTAATACCATAAAAATCAACCCTTGCTGCTGATTTAAGAATGAAACGCAACAGTAAACAGAGATTGTATTCATATTTGCTTAGCAGATGTGAATCAGTGAGCTGTATTAAATACAGTGTATCAGGCAGACAGGAAGTGCTGGAACTAATAAATTGTTCAAAGCTAAATACTGTAAGTGTCTAAATGCATCATCTTGCAGTTCACAATAGTTGCCCACACTTCTATTATTTAAGAGAGTGTGTGTTTGGCAGATGAAAGATCAGGACTTCCTGCAACATATCCATTTATACACTCTCAGCTGACGTGTGAAGACTGGCTGAATGTTTGTTAACACAAAGCCAATTTCAGCGTCTGTGCACTCAGTTATCCTCTCAGGCAGGGTTCAAACCTGGCGCATTGGTGCCTATTCATTCAAGTGGGTGAAGAAATGTGCTGTGTCACTGAACTGACACAGCACTGAGAAAAAAGAGGAAATCCTGTAATCCTTTTTTAAAATAAGAAAGGATCTTGTTTTAATTGGGGCTGGCTGTTCATGTGCTACTCCTTCCTCACTGGTGCCTGCACATGTACCAGAGCAGCACGGTCGGCCCCTGCAGTCCACCAGCTGTTTTGCTGCCTGTCGCTGCACATGGCTCCAATTTGCTGTCTTTTTAAAGAGTGTCTGCCTCTTCAACTCCTGTAAACCAAATGCCCAAAGAGGCCAGTGTCCGTCCACTCACCTCCTTGTCTCTGGTCTGTCTAGACCACAGAGACCGTTCTGTCTGATCCCAACAGAAGCCAAGCAGTGGATGGATGCATGGACAGCTATGATGACAGACAGCAGTAGTCTCCCTCTCTGCAATGAAAAAAAAAGCCCCCAAAGTTGTTGAACCTTTAAAAATAAGGAGAGCAAAAGAGTTGAGTGTTTCTCCAACATAACAGTTCAGGAGTTGCTGCAAGGCAACCACCATGTTTACATGGCTCTAAAGCTCTGCGCAAGGCCAAATGTTATATATACAGTCGAGGCTATCTGAGAAACCAGCGGACATGGCCTCCGCAAACACAACCAATCTTTTAATCTCTCTCCGTTTGAACCTGCCTTTTCCCTTCGTCTCCTCGAGTGAAGCAAGGATAGAGCCGAGACAAGTCTCATTTTTCAGAAGTGAGGCAGCCCTTTTAACTTGATTAAGACTACCCCCCCCCCCCCATCCTCTCAAGATAATTTTTTAAAAATGTTTTAAGTCCAAATAACATGAGCACTTCTCTTGGTCATGCCAGAACCCCTTTCCGCTTGGAAATATTTGCTTTGGACGCTAGCCTTGCCCAGCACACAACACAGGCAATTATGGGAGCTATTTAAACAGGAGAGATCTACTGACAGGCGACGCCTCATTTGGAAGGATGAAGGAATCAGGAAATGAAACCTTCATTGATGCGCTGAGGGTATGGAAAGAGAATTCCCCAAGGCCCTCTGAGGCTGGTTGCATTTCTCATGGGTATTTTGTGCATGCGTTAAGGACTGTTGTATTTGTGTAGCCTTTACATGTTTAAATTTTTGAGGTTGTGTGTGAAAGGGAGAGAGAGCAGGAGAGAGAAAGAGAGAGACTTGGTGTTAGGATGTTTTCCCGTTTGAGCTCTGGAGTTTGGGTTTTTGGTGCCTGCTAACAGTTTATCTGCAAAGGTGCAGCTGTAGGTCGTTGGCAGCTTTCGTCCGCTCAAAGGTCTGCTTTCTGTTGCTGCCACTTTCATGATGGGGAGATGAGACCATGAGGTCAACACCAAGGCAGCCACACAGTTGATTGAAAGCCTGCCCAACTATTTTTTCCAAACTGTCCTCCCTTTGCTCTGGCTTAAAGTCTAAATGTTAACTTTGCAGGGCAGTTTTTTTGTTTTTCTAACAGTGCACTGCTTCACCTGGCTGCAGAGTGACTCTTTTCCCATCGACCTCAATTGACATGACACATTGTTTTTAGAGGAAAGACACAGTTATGCCGATGGAATGTGAGAACAGGACAGCAGACTTGGCAAGCCAAAGATGTGTGCTACCTGCCACTGACCTACTTATCAACCCCAGAGGTTTTTGTCTTGCCAGGTGCCACTTTGTGAGCTCAGTCTGCATGTGTTTGTGCGTTTGGTGAATCCACATGTCCACATGCATTTTTGTGTGGAAAAAGAAGAAAGAAGAGGACAGAGTGAAGTTCAATTTCTCTGTTGGGCTGAGAATTCCCTAGAAAGGAAACTTAATCTACAGGCCTTCTCAGACTGGACAAATAGACAGTAAATTAGTTTCGCATGACGGTTTATTAAAAAAAAAAGCCTTGTGTATACAGCGGATTATTGATGCATCGAGCAGAGGGATGGATAAGGTTCCACTGTGGTTGGTAGTGAGGGACAGAGCCCAGGTCTCCGGGGGAAGAGGGAATATGGAGTGTCACCTCCAGAGCCACAGTGCAGTCACGCACAGGGGAGGCAGAGACCACGAAGCTCTGCAGCACGCCAGGCAAATAAAAGCAGCAAAAAATGACATGGCACAAGATCTTTCATTTTGAAAATGAAGAAATATTTCAAAAAGATTTATAGATGTTCCACTGCTGTTCTTTTGTTTCTTTTGTTGAGTCCCACAATGCATTTGGGTGGAGAAAAAAATAAATTTTTTGCCTTTAGGAGAGAACAGCTGGAAGTGCACAATTCATTATCAGTGGAAATGAAGTCAGCAATTGTTTGTGGTCAGCTTCCCTTTCTTGCCCCGTGGCAGGACAAGGCCTCAGGCGACACTTTTGTAAATGCTCTGTCTTTGTATGCACTTGAGGTGGATTCACCCCCCGCATGTCTCACACTCTCTCCTCTTTCCATATCTACTTTTCCTCACCCTCTTCTTCTTCCCTCTCCCTGCATTCCTCCCATCATGGGGCTGACAGACACTCGTCATCAGCAGGTACTCTGGCGGCCTAGATGGATCAGGTTTCCTGCTTGCCAGGAGATTGTGCTGCATGTGCATTTTTATGGCTTAGTGCTGCACAGTTGGAGGTTTTCTCTGGTGTGCTGCCATGTCAGATAACCATTAAGACAGGCACGGCCTCCTCAGATAGCTTAAGACAAGCTCCACTGGCTTTTCATAATATCCAAACACTTTTTTTGTGCCTTGTGTTTTCCTTTTGTATGACATTTGCACTCAAACCACAACCTATGTGGTTGTACTTGATTATGAAGTGAATAGTTTCAACATTTAAAGATTTAAATTTGTTTCAAATAAATTTAAATGAAGTGAAAAATGATTTCAGTTATGCTCGGAGGGGAACAGAGGCACTTTTGAATCTGAATGGTTTTTCTGTCAGATAGTCAGAAAAAAAGTGGTAGAGAAATTCATCAGGTTTTTCTATATTATATTATCATATTATGTGCTGCACATGAATTAATTAACCAATTAAGTACATTTACTCAAGTGCTGTACTTAAGTACACATTTGAGGCACTTGAGTATTTCCATTCCCTGCTACTACAGTATATACACAAAAATCTGACTTTTACGCCACTATTTATTTGACAACTTTAGTTATTAATTCTTTACAGATGAAGATGTTTACATAGAAAACACTTAAATGAATGTATAACATAATATATGATGCACACAAACAATCACTTTTGCTCTACTTACTATGTTAATATACTTTTAAATGGATACAGTATGTGTGTGTGTCCCTACTCTCCTAATCTCTGTTTAATTATGATTTACAGCTACTTGTCCTTTAAATGGGTTGTGATCTCATCCCAGTCAACCTTCAGACTAACGATAATCTGTCTAGTGTTTGTTTTGTCTTGAAGTGATGTTATTAATTTAGTTTTGTGCGTCTGTCTCCCTGCAGATGTGGATGAGTGCTCAGAAGGCAACGGCGGATGCCAACAGATTTGTGTCAATATGATGGGCAGCTATGAGTGCCGCTGCCGAGAAGGATTCCTCCTGAGTGACAACCAGCACACCTGTATCCAAAGGCCTAAAGGTTAATCATGCGCACATGCGCACACACACACACACACACACACACACACACACACACACACACACACACACACACACAAACAATAGCAGGACGCATGTTGTTGAGTGGATGGTGCGTTTGACTTTTGGTTAGATTTGACCATACGTGTTGAAGCTCATTACTTTAAGTAATATTAGAATGATAATGAAGCTTTATGTAACATACAAATGTTCAGGTCCAGGCATTTTTTAATATAATGGGTTGTGCAGATTGAGAATAGGATCTGTCCTAACAGGCCTGAATGAAAGGTGAGCAAAGTTAAGTGTCTCCAGTCTAAGGCGGGGTGGGGGTGGGGGTGGGGGGGATAAATCTCTTTTTGTTTTCTTCCTAACCTTTTAAATTGAACCAATCTAGTGCTTGGCAGCATTTTAAGGTATCAGTGGTTTAAGAGTGTCCTGTGGGGGTCTGTGAGCAGAGAAAACAATTAAAGGTGTAGCCTGGAGCAGACACACCTCTTGTTTATAGAGCATTCCTTGATAGAGACGTGACAGGAGAAGGTACAGAGCCAACCTGCTCTGAGGCTTACTCATCAGACACAGGAGCACTGTGGACATTTATAACGTCACAGCTGTATTTAAAGCTGTCAGGAAAATATCTCTGCTATGCACAGTGTCTTGTAGCTGTTTTCTTTATAGTGGCTAAATTTTACAAGTCTATGAACAGCACAGTGGTTCAGATCGACTCTAGTTTGTTAAAACAACCTACAATACTGAATTTTGAATGTGTTTAAACAATAATGATACTACAGCATATTTAATAAATACTAATAAAACTGTTTCTGGACATATTTGTGGAAACCGTCAGAGTAAGGCCTGTGGGTGGGTGTTTCCCATGGCAACCCATGGTTGAGTGACAGCAGAGATCTGGTGTTGCTAGGAGACAGACTGTCAATGTCCATGGTGAGCTACTGATGAGCATTTTAAAATCCTACAAATTTTCCCTTCTTCAGTAAGCCCACATAGTGTAAGCTATATGTTGGCTAACTGTTACTGATTTCAGCTGTCTGTTCCTTTTTATAACATTAAAAAAGCAAGCCAGGAGAACTACCTGCCACTTGGAAAGTTTATGGTGTGTTACAGTTGTACAGGAAAGACGGAATTTCCGGGTTCCCAGTCGGATAGTTCAACTGAAGCCACCCCTAAAGTCGGATTCCCAACTCGGAAATTTGGGAGAACAACACCAACCCCGACCTCAAAATCCAAGATGGCTGCTACCGGAATCAGCAGTAGTGGAAGCTGTAGTAATATGCTGTTTATCACACTTCTGTCTGATTTGTGTCATACACACAGTCCTGTCCAACTTATGGACATGACATGTTGCTACAGTGTTTGTATGTGCAAAATACCACATAATGTGTTGTTATCAGCTGATATTGCCAGAGGCATCAATCTTGGTTTTCCAATTTATCTTAATCCAACTTAATCTGTTGTTGTACTGGAACGCTGTCAACTTGGGTGTGACATCATTCCCAGCTCCAACCTCTGACTTTTGAGGTAAATTAAACGCACCATTAGAGCAGTTAGCGTACCTTGCTAACGTTAGCACTGCAGCCCACTAGACATGTTATTTCACCAGCTGCTGAGTCATCGGCAGCTCCTGCACACTCAGCTTATCACTTGTTAATGGCGGGGTTTGTGGTTATAGCAAATTACCAGAGTGTCAAAACCTTTGACCACCGTACATTACTCTGTAGTTTAAATCACAACGGAGTCAAGTCAATTTTACTTATATAGCCCATTATCACAAATTTCCCTCATGTGCTTAACAATCTATATAGCATACACCCTCTGTCGTCAGACTTTCAATTACAGACTAATATACAGAGGCTTGGTCTGACATAGGAAATGTTCAAATCACAGGTGGAACTAAACATTTGATAACAACAGCTCCCAGCTGGTTAATTACCTACCGTTGGAATTGAAATTCTATGCCAAACTATTTTAAGTGCTCGCCCACACAGATGTTCAACCAATCAAGTTACATTACTGACATTACTGGAGAACACTAATGTAACACTAATAAATAAAACCGTAGTGTTTTTCTTTTTGGTAATTACAATTTTGACCAAATAAGTTTCAAAACAAACACAAACCACTAAATTCTTAGCAAATCTGAATTTTAATTTTAGTTTGAGACTTTTGGCTGCTGGTGATTTAGGTCACTGGGTTTTTTGACTGAATATAAATATCCTTGATTTTGTTACTTGTGGTGCTTTGTGTGGTGCTGTTGCTCTGCTCGACATTTGTTACACTGTTCAATACTTCTGTTCTTTGTTTGGTAGATTTCTCCTAAAGTCAGAAAAGCAACATTAAAAAGGATGAACAGCTGTTATCGCTATCACAAAACACGTTTATTCAAGGAGTAAATTATCCAGCTGTCTACAGATTTCTTAGCTCTGCCAGTTTTGGGGTTGGGACTGTGTTACAGATTTTTTTTGCTTTCCGGGGTTTGCAGCACTCCTCATTCAGAAAGCCCTGACAGCATGTCCAGCAGGATCCAAGTGTCTCTTCATCTCTGCCCTCCTCATCTCTCCTCTGTCTTTTGTGAGATAACTTCTCGTGCTGGGAGTCATTAGACTGTGATGTTCCTAAGTCCCCTGGATGGTGAACCGAGGTTCTTGGAAGTATAGTTTATGAGATCTGTCTGGCCTAGTGAACTGTCAATGTTTACATTTCATAAACGCAGTGTTATTTGAGTGGAGGCAAAAGCTGGATCATGTGTTTCAAAGCACTACTACTATAGCAATGCTGTCAGAAGCGGACTGTGAACAGAGATCCAGTCTTGCCAAGCTCCCCCTGTCTCTCTTTCACTTCCTCTCTCATCTTTCTGTCATGATAAAATGCCTTCAGTTCCTGTCAATATTCCATTTTCATATAAATGTTGTTTTTATTGCTTCCAGATGAGACCCATTTGGATCAAGAGATTAAAGCTGCCATAAATCTACAAACTTCCTTCACTCATCTGTCATTGTTTCATTATTTTTGAAAGACTAACAGAGAGAACAACTACTCATCTGCTTATTATTACTGCTCTTATTACAACAATGTGGGTCTGAAGAAAATGGAAGTAGTGAGAAAGTGGCCCGCCGCGTTATTGGACAATAACCCTGCAGAATTTTTGCAAAAATAACTTTCCTCGCTAACTGAAAAATTATACGCAAGTGGCTCAGGGAAAAAGAAAATCATTACAAAAATTAAAACTGATCTAATCTCCTAGCCCATTCGGCTTAAATGCAACCCTCCATCCATTCTGCTGAGGCTCCTTTTCAAGAGCAAAGCCTGGGGTGCCGTTTGTTCATGAGCTTTATTGTTCTCATTAAAAAGACATCAGCTTTCCATTTCTTTCATTAATGGGTCAGGTGTTCCCTGGGCAACTTCTGCGAGTCTTTCTGGGGACAGTGGAGAGCTGGTCACTGCAGTGTATGGCGCTAACAGTCTGTTTCCCCTGCTGGTAGGAAGCCCTTGTTAGCAGTGAACCTGTGCCAATTAGGCAGCAGGGGTCTGCCAACCTCTCAGCTAATGACAAGGCTGCTGCTGGCCTGTCTCTATTAGTCCTGCCCCCCTGAACAGGAATAACTCTGGCCAAATGAAGGCTCCATCGTCTAGCTGGACAAAATGTAACAGTTCATTTATTCCCCGCAAACATTTCTCCCAGTCAAGAAATGAAGCCTTTGAAAGGCCAGCCAAGGTGCTTAGCGGTTGATAGGAATGCCATTTAGGTCAAGAAGGGTTCCACTGCTTTATGTTTGATTTATTGTCTCTTTTATATAGGAGGGACGTACTATATGTACGTGAGACGGGATCCAGCACTTTGGAATTCTGGAATTTTTAGGCTCAACCCACACATCCATAATTTTAGTCTTGGGCATTTCTGAATATCCGGTAGGGCAATTACCTTAAGTGTGCACTGATGGGCTGTTTTGTAAGTCACATATAGAAATGTTTGCATTCATTCCCATTGTCTTCAGTTCAAAATACACAAAATATGATTATATGATTTGCAAGACCACTCATCAGTGTGTGGCTGTACAGCTGAAGAAGTGAGATGTAGAGAGATGAAACTTTTAACAAGAAGTCGAGAAGTCACTCTGCCACTCAATATGGCAGTGTGACTGGCATTGAGTGGAATGCTGTGGGATAGTAGAAAGGTGTCTGATGATTGCATTCCTGAGTCTGAAGCTCATTGCAGAGAAAGATTCGATTACATGAGCCCCGGGGCTTTACTGCCACTTTATGCTGCTGGAAGAAATCTGTTAATAGGCCACCGTACTCAAGTCTCCAACGTGCACAAACAAATTAAACATAGATTAACAGCAAGCAAGGTTTGCAGTCACAAAGGAAAGCTATCAAAGTGCAAAATATATCTTTGTTTCACTTTATTGGAAATGTTTGTTCGCTTTAATGTCACCGTTTTAGAAAGAACCATTTTTTTCATATTAGTCTCATTGTTTTTGTCACCTAACTGTGGATACAAGCTCTTTTTCTCCACAGTAGGCCTTGTCTTTCAAGGAAATGTTTACATTGTCAATGAGAACCTCTTCCTGTGTTTACAGTTTTCATTAGCTTACCAAATAGGTTGTTGCCCCTTGTGCAGCAAATCTCTTCTCTGTCTCTCGCACTTTAAAATATGAACATGATGGACATAATCAAACAAACACACACGCGCACGCGCACACACACACACACACACACACACACACACACACACATGCAACTTTTCAATTTAATCCTGCTGGAGGCACATTCAGACATGTTCTGTAAAGGCATTCAGATACAGACCGTGGCATGCTGACTTCAGGATATGTGTTTTCTGTGCCGGCCTGAACTGCGGCAGTGCAAGGAATTTTCCAATAAATGTGATCAAATCCATAATAAATGGTCGCATCATATAATCAGTTAGTTATGCAATCCAGCCATGACATTCCTTCTGTATGAAATCAGGCACACGGCCATTGAACCATG